TTATGCGCCGCTTGACTTTTTTTTCGAAAAATCATTATTTGAGAAAAAAAAGAAGAATAATAGCACGCCGCTTCCTTTTATGAAATCTCAGAAACAAATCTATGTGTCAACATTTGCAAATGCGCCTCTAATACACTCAAACATAACGCTCATAACATAACGCTCACCTATTGGAAACAAATCCGTGTAACCGCGATGCGTCGCGTTCCGGATCACGCTCGTCGGTTTGGGTTCGTAGGAGGCGGAATAATTTAGAAACAGTGGATTCCAAAATAAACTTAATTGTGTATTTAAAATTAGCTGCTGCGATACATTAAATCAGATGTTCGATGTCGACACCGTTGGTTTTCGTCGATTATATATAAGCTGTCAGAGGTTTTGTTTAGGCGATGGCTCGCGAGATGCTCTGCGCCGTGCGCGGAACGCGATTGGTGTTGTTGTCGCGTCGTGAATCCGTTTGTTGACACCTGTATGAAGTTAGCCCCCCACTTTTCAAATTTAATAATTTTGATAGTTGTGCTAATTTGTGCTAGGTTTGTGCTACATTGTGCTCGAATTATAAATTTTTAATACGAAAAATGAGCAAGAAAAATGGAAAAAACCGTTTTTTTGGTAGCTCCCCACTTTTCGATTTTCGAAAATTTGTTTATTGTGTGGTAGGTTAGGTTGTGCTAAGTTGTGCTAACATTGTGCTAAAGTAATATCTTCGAAAAATAATCACGAAAGGAATAAGATGAAAAAACGATTTTAGGCAAATAGAATAAAAGTAAGATTTATACTCGTATAAGTCAACCAAACGATATACAATTATATATCTGAGTTGTGCTAGGCTAACACAAGTTTCAGTTTCGTCAGCACAAGAATCTAAAGAGCACTTTACTCTTGACTGCGGCCCTTCGCGCTCGCAGTCTGTCATTAATCACCACTTCTAGACTTTGTATTGACTTAGAATTGCATATCTGAGTTGTGCTAGGCTAACACAAGTTTCAGTTTCGTCAGCACAAGAATCTAAAGAGCACTTTACTCTTGACTGCGGCCCTTCGCGCTCGCAGTCTGTCATTAATCACCACTTCTAGACTTTGTATTGACTTAGAATTGCATATCTGAGTTGTGCTAGGCTAACACAAGTTTCAGTTTCGTCAGCACAAGAATCTAAAGAGCACTTTACTCTTGACTGCGGCCCTTCGCGCTCGCAATTTATGCCATTAATTACTATTTCTAGACTTTGCATCGACTCAGAATTGCATATCTGAGTTGTCCTAGGCTAGCACAACTCAGATATATAATTGTATATCGTTTGGTTGACTTATAAAGTTGAGTGTAAATCTTACTTTTCTTCTTTTTTGCCTAAAATCGTTTTTTTCGTTTTATTTTTTTCGTGATTATTTTTCGAAGATACTACTTTAGCACAATGTTAGTACAACTTAGCACAACCTAACACTATAAAAAAAATTTCGAAAATAAAAAAATGGAGGGCTACCAAAAAACGGTTTTTTCCATTTTTCTTGTTCATTTTTCGTATTAAAAATTTATAATTCGAGCACAATGTAGCACAAATCTAGCACAAATCAACACAACTGTCAAAATTATTAAATTCGAAAAGTGGGGGGCTAACTTCATACAGGCTCTGTTGACGTTCTCTGTTTCTCGCCTCTTTAATTCCGGTTGTCAATTATCTTTATCTGCTGCTATTCGATGCAGCACGGTATAGGCAGTATTTCTGCGGTATTGCAGCGGAGCTGCGTTCGGTGTATCGCCTCGGTGGCGGTACCTCGGATATAATATACCGGAGATTACTTCTAATATATCGGAGATTCGGTGCGTGTCAACGTATGCTGTTGCTGTGGTCCGTCTTTGTACGCGGAACCTTAGTTAGCTTTGTTGCCTTAGTAATCTAATGAGGCCGACTCGTTCTCGCGAAATCGCGGACGTGCCTATACGTCGCGGTAACGGAATGATTCCGATCTCGTTTTCTGAGCTCGGTTTCTAGTAATGCGGAGGCCGACTCGCGTCCTTGCGAGTTGACGGCGGTATGATCCTGACGCGGATCCTTATGACGCGGTGTCGAAGCTGCGCTGTAACGGAGCGAGGCTTCGATTATACGGAGACGAGTTCGCACACTGCGACTCGATAGCGGTATGATCTCGCTCGCGCTAAGGCGAAGGCGAGATCCGGTTAGCAGTGTGAAGGTCGCGTTAAGCGCCCTTCCGGCGGATAGATTCCAGGCCCTTCGGTGGCCGTGGAATCTTGCGGATGACGATATTTAGATCAGTGTCGGCGTCACGTATCCGTGAGCCAACGGCGGAGTGACTCCTGTCGCGTATCCGCAAGCGGAAGTCTGCAATGATTGTTAGATTGAACGAACTTACCAGTGAAGTTCGATCCTAATTATGCCCTTTGTCTCGTCCGGATGGAAGCACTATGTAGTAGTCCCCTGTTCACGTCCTGACAACAGTTTTCAAAAAACCGCCAAAGAAAAAAAAAGCCAGCGCAAGCGTTCCAGCGTCGCCTACGCCGCCGTGCGTCATGTGAGCACGCTGCGTCTTCATGATTCAAATCTTTGAGGATAATCGCTGTTTCTAGGGGGGGAGAATAAGTCTGGGAGGGGAGTCCATCTGGACGAGACAAAGGGCATAATTAGGATCGAACTTCACTGGTAAGTTCGTTCAATCTAACAATTAT